ATCTAGAATATGTAAACAAAAGAACCAAAACAACAAATAAAACGGATACTGAAGTCGCCTTTTGTCATCCAGTCTTTGGTAGAAATGAGAGACACAAGAAAAACTATAATGCAAATGCATGATATTTTAGTTTATCATGCAGTTAACTGATTTATTGCTTATTGCGAGTTTCTTCTGTGTGGATTGTTTCTCCAACAAGGTGTGAGAAACAATCCTTTATGAAGTATGAAGGGCCAAACAAGCCATAACTGGAGTGCTCAGCGGAAAATTCACTTTAAAAAATCAATATGATGAACATTTAGATAAAACCAAGGCGGTATGCACATATTGCAGTAGCGAATTATCTTTCCACCGAAGCACAACCAGTTTATAGTTAACGTTTCTAACTTGCATTTAAAACAAAATCACTTATTTTAAGCCATCCTAAATATAAAAGCCTGGAAAATCTGAAACAGCTTGGTTTAAGATGACAAAACATTTTCCTAAACATTTAATGAAAAATGTGCTGTTTTTTTTTTTTACACTTTTTCATTAATTGTGATTAATCACAGTTAATTAGAATTAATTGTGAAAGAGTGAAATACACTCATGCAACTTCTGTCATTGGTTATATTTTCAATTTTCAGGCAGAGCAGGCCAACTGGTTGAAATATGTTACTGTTGAAAGCAAGATCAGAAAAATAGATGTTTGGGGAAAAAAAGTTAAATCTGTCTTTCTAGTCATACAATAACATTATGCTATAACATGATTAATTTTGTGTTAATTCAAGTGAATTGATCAAAAAGTATTTACATTTTATACATAATTTTGTTCGCTTAAATGCTATTATAAATTGTCCACTAAAACTAAATAAAATTTGAGTAAAATTAAATTTGCTGTCAAAATTAACGCTGCCTGGCATCAACCAGCCGCCGCGTGCAGGAACAGAAATCGGAGCAGTCGTCGTTCGTTTTCTACAGTTTAGTTTCAGTTTTGTTCCCTGTTTAAGAGTTTGAGTGAAACCACCTGCTTCGCTCATCATGAAATTTATTTATGTCGACAGCCTTGAGTTCAGCGACCAAAGAGCGTTGTGTCTGCTCAGGATCAGACAAAAAAAAAACAAAAAAAACACGCAGCACACATCTGGGTTTTCTATCTGATATTTCTGTGTTTTGAAAAAGCGGTCTGGAAGACATTAGGAGGTAATTCGTCAGCTCGGCCTCTGACACCTCTCAGCTCACCGACTGTGCCCTCTTCCGCCCGTGACCCCGGTTGACCTCTGCAGCTCACTCGTTCCTGTCTTTTTGTCGCAGCACGTGGGCTGCGATCGTGTGCTCGGGTCGGACGTGCGTGAAGATCGCTGTCGGATCTGCGGCGGCGATGGGAGCAGCTGCACCTCGGTGGAGGGAGTCTTCAACGACTCGCTGCCTGAAGGAGGTAGAAATCAAAACGCTTCACCTGTTATCCTTCTGCTTTCATCATCCAAGTATAGTCAATCCAGGCTAGAATCAAATAAAAGAAAGTATTTCAGTTTAATTTCAACTTTGGAGCAAGTGTTCATCTTCCCAGAGGTTAGACGGGAAGCTTTCACCATTTGAAGGTATGCAACACAGTCTGTAGTTGAGGAAATATGCATATCTGGCTTTTGCTATCTTGGAGAGATGGATTCTGGGCAAATCAGAAGATGAAAACATACTTTCATAATCATGTATTTACACAAGCACTGGCTTAACTTTGCTGAAGTTTCAAATGAAGCCAATGAACACTGCAAGGATTTCAAAATAATCATAATTTCTGCAATTATTTTACCTCGACTGGCCAGACTTTGCTTTAAAATCAGGTATGTGCAAGTCAGATACATTTAAAAGTTAGTAAATTTCAGTAATTCAATCCACTAAGCGAAATAACTTACTGATTACACACAAGCTGATGTTTTCAAGCCTTTTTCTGTTAATTATGATGATTTTCTGCTTACATCTAATAAAAACACGACATTTATGATTAGAATGGTACATAAAATAAATAGAAAAACATTTTTAAAACAAAAATGAAAAGTATCTGTAATACCTTCTTACAGATTATATTTTCAAAAGTTCTGAGGAAGATTATCATGTCAGTGATGCAGACATAACATCCATATTTGCACATTGAAATTCGAAGTCCTATTCACAGTCGAACATGAGTTTGAACTTCTTTATGTTGAAACACTTCTTTGATCGCCTTTATCATGTTTAGTGAAACTGCTTTACAAAACAAGCTGGATCCTGTTTGGCAACATTTGTTTACTAAAACCATCAACTCACCTCTTTGTGTTTATATGTTCATTGTTTATTTTTACAAATCTCAGTCCTGCAACCCGGATTTTATCTGTTCACATTTGTTATTGTTTTTGTACACTTTTTAGGACTTGTTTTTTCTGAATCCTGCATTTTTCTTTATTTTAATTGCACATATCTTGAAAAAAGAATTATCTGACTTATTTGAATTGTTTTCTGATGAATGCTCTTCAAGAAATACCAAATGACTTTATTGCCATTATCTTTATCAATTATTTCAACTGTTTATAATCAGAAATGTCTGTACAGTCCTGTAACATTTCAGTGAAAAGATTCCAAAGTTTGGCATCCCATAAATGCGAGCCATGAATCAGAATATTCAAAGTGGATTGTTAACCCTAACCCATGCAAACAACACTGAAACACGTTTTAATCTGATTAAAAAGTGTTTCAGAAGTGGTTATGCCTGCATAAACTCAAAACAGATTTTCACCAAAAGCAACTGTTTGTCCAAACAACTTCCCGAGTTTATAAAGGGTCATTATGTAATTAAAAACTGGAATCGACGTCACCATCACACACACGTAATATTGTTGTTTCATTTCAACAATATTATAGATCTGAAGTTTGTCAAAATTTGTTTATATATTCTTTGAATTTTAATTTGTTTAGTCAATAAGTTGTTTCTCCAGACTTTTGTTGGCGTTTTAAGTTTTGTTACGCCGCTCTTGGCAGTTGGTGGTTACCATAGCAACCAGTAGCTGACAGCTCCTCCCCCTTTTTCTGTTGCCGTCGGTAACTGTGGGGCAGAAGCTGCTAGACTGATGTTAACCAGCAACCTGATTTGTTTTTCTTTTTGTTTTGTTAGAATAAATACAGTGAACCTGAATGTGTCTGTCAGGACGTCGACCTACTGGACCTGAGTCGAACTCAGAAGGGTCACACACAGATGCTACTTTCAAAAACACGCGGCATGTAAATCCGACCGCTGCAGCTTGAGGTCCAGCTGCTATCAAATGTATTTTAGGTGACAGTCTGCCCACAACACCAACTCCAGAGTCGCTCATGTTTGTGTTGACACCCACCGCCCCCTCCCATGATTCTCTGGGGCGGGCCACACCCTGAACATGCACTCCTGCTGTAAGCCACAAGAACCGGGTCAACCTGTCAGCCTCCGTCTGACGTCCCTGCAGCTTTCAGAACATCTGCAGCCACAGCTGGTGTTTAAAGAAAGTCACTTTCTATTAGAAGTAGGGCTGACAAAACGTATCACAGTATAACCCTTTCATATCAATATCAATAATTATTGATTAGTTTTGTTTTAAATATTTTAAATACTACCAAGCTGATGGCATGACCTTTCCTGTTTTATCAAGTTTTCAATCCACACCGTTGTTTTTTTTATTTTTAAGCTCCTATGAGTGGCGAAACCTTAAGCTTCTGCTGCACAAGTTACTGAACATGTTGTTGCTAGGTAACCACAAGTTGCTCAACATGTTGTTGCTAGGTAACCAAAGAGTGGGTGAGTTAGTTAATGTCACTAACCTTGCTTAACTAGCCATGACAGGTTACCTAAGCCTCTCCAGGCTGCCTATATCTCCCAGAATGCCTTGTGGTTCTGGATTTGAGTTTAGTGAGTTCTGTCACATGTTTTCTATTGATATTGATCAGGTGTCTATGGCGATATACATTGTTATTGATTTATTGTCTATCCATGTCTGGAAGCCTCCAGAAACTGAAGCAAGGATGGAAAGAGGAGCGGATGAAATTCCTCCACAACTAAAAAAATAAAAAACTACAAAATCCTGCAACGTCCAGCTATGCTTTTTAATAAAGTCGATTTATAATGCTGTATCTTTCAAATGCGGCACAGTAAAGTGAGTTTAAATTAAATGAAGCTTTACTTTTCAAAGTGAAGTAGACTCGGTCACAATGACAGCACAGGGCTTTTTCATCTCAAACTCAAACTCCAGGCGCAGGACTGGAGGCTTATTCTGGTACTGGTCAGGATTTATGACTGGGAGAATCACTCAGTCATGTCTACAGCAAGCTTTTGATTTCTCCCAACTCCAAAAAAGCCTCCAGCCAACACTTCTCCTCTGCTGTCTGCTTCAGTGATTTAAAGTCTCCCTCTGGAGTTTTTGACCTGCAGCAGAGTTTTGGGGCAACTTTTATATGTGTGGCTTCCCGTTTTGTTTGTCTCACACATCTGCATTATGACATGCAAGCACACAGTTCACATGCATTACAGTAAACCACTTCTATTTTGTTGGTTTTGTTGTTTGCCAATAGACTCTGCAATGTGCAGATTATAAAGCTGTAAGGCAGTAAATATAAGTGTAAGCTCAAAAAAAACAAAAGTATGCGAGGCATATAGGCAAAACTTAGTATGAAACTATGCATTACATTGCAAGAACATCCCAGAAACCTCTTTACTCTATTATTAACATACCAAGTGATAACATTATCCCTATAGGGAGAGTTTTATGACCACAGAATGAAGCCAAACCACTGCGTCTGCACTGTAAAGCTAAGAAAAATGACATGAATGTGTACTGGAGTTCAGCCTGTTCGAAAAAAGTGAAAGATCAGATTTCCCAATGCTCCTGTGTTTTTTTTATTTTAATTTTATTTGTGCTCCAATCTCAGCATAGATGCACTTACACTGCAAAAACACTAAATTTTACCAAATATTTTTGGTCTGATTTGTAGTGCAACTATCTTGGTACACTTGAAATAAGACAAAACTAACTAATAAGAAACTTTTAGAGCGATTTGGTTGTTTGTTTTAGGTAAATAATTTCTTACTATTGATTAGTACCAGTACCAGTTCCATTGACAGATTATTTAAATTGTAACAAAGACAAATCTGCCAGTGCGATTAGCACTTTTTCATCAATATTAAGGAATTATTCACTTGTATTAAGTTCTTATATTTTGCTGAAAAGCCACTTGTAAGTTATTTTTATCTTATTTCAATTGTACTGAGATATTTACATTAAAACTAGACA